TATGCCCGGTTTTTCGCGCGAAAACACCTGAAGAATGGTTAAGAGAAGCGCTACTTGGTCGATACTGTGGAAATTGTTTAGCCACAGATCACGCAACCGAGCGATGTACCAGCGAAGGACGATGCCGTCGATGCGGTGAGAAGCACCACACTACGCTTCACCTCGGTGAAGCGCGACGACCCGCAGAGGAGGTACAGAAGCCTTGGAGCGTCCAAGTCGAAGAAGAAGAGCGCAACAATTATGAGGCGGCCATCTCGCTATACGCGTCTGATTCTGGAACGGAGACCAGGCCTCTCCGTCCAGATATTGAAGAGGGCGAGATAATAGAGTTCGGAGTGGAGACTCGGCCTCTCCACCTGACTACTGCGAGGGGATCGGAAACTAGGTCTTTCCGACCCCTACTCCAACACGAGCGCGATCGCCATCGACCACACAAGCGACAACAACCACACCAGCGACAGCGAACGCATCAGCGACGTCAACGACATTGCAGAGCGGAAACTCGGTCTTTCCGCCTGCAGCGATCTTCGCGACACCCATCGCAATCCGAACATGACGATAGACTGGCGACTCGGCCTCGCCAGCTATCACGACCAATCGCGTTCCGTAATGGACTATCGGCGAAAAACCCCGTTGTTGGGCCAACCCTCCGCCCTATGGTAGCTATTCCTCCGACGGCCGTTGTTAAAGTTGAGGCGAGGGGGCGCTTACATTTAGTCCGCGCGCTTATAGACGTCTGCACTCCCACGACAATTGTATCTGCGGACCTGGCCCGCGAGCTACGCCTAGAGCAAACACGAGTCGGCGAGCAAACGGGCAGTCTCTTATGTTTACGAGGGAAACACGGCCAGAATAAGCGAGTTGTGACCCATGCCGTCGTTACACCCCATTTCCACCGAGTAGCGCCAAGTAGCAGCATAGATCCGACTGTCGCCGCATCTTACGCACATATCCGTTTAGCGGACCCCAACTTTTTCAATTCCGCGCCGATACGTCTGGTACTCGGGACCGACGTATACGCCGATATTTTACTACCCGGAATTCTTCCGAACACTTTCGGGCCTCTGCTGGCTGAGAGCACCATCTTTGGATGGGTTCTTTCCGGAATCTGCAGAACCTAGTTTTTAAGATTGGAATTCTAATTAAAATCCATAGTTGTTAAAATTGGAGTTTATTTCCATTGAAAAATAATGAATTTTTATATACATATGAGATAAGTGAATAAAGTGCATTTGAATGGTAACCACGTCTATTTCTTTAATTGCCTTTTTCAATTTAAATTCTGTAGTAGCAACAAAGAAAGAAGGGCGAACTTGTTGGACGCCGAAGCTGCTGCTGGAATGCAAATTGATATTTCTCGATTAAAATTTTTTTATTATCCATCAAGTGCGCCTGATAGCTGAGACGCGGTCAATTTCTAGAGGTTGCTTACCGCAAGGGGGCCGGCATGTTTAGGCCTTCAGCCTAAATGTTTTTCACACTTTTAGTGAACCGCCCTAATGCTGGTATATGTACATACATGCATATATACTATACACTCATACATGCTCATATGTATTAACAACAGCTAAGCCGTTAACCAATGTATCCCGCCGAACAATGAACCTTCCTTAAGTTTCCTTAACGTCAGTTATTGTCCGGCGGTCCAAACTTAGAAGCTGCAAATTATATTTGTCACTTCTTTTTGGAGATCAAAGAGGACACAACGCAGCTACCAGGCCACTTCCGAAAGGTAATCAAAACCGCATTTGTATAGGCATAAATATAGATATATATCACTATCGACATAGTTGATTTCAATAAAACGTTGAAAAATACTAAATCCATTATTTCACTATTTTTCTATTTTCTTCCACATTATAAAACACTGGTGCGTCCAATTGCGAACCTTACGACGCCCGGGGTGTTACATTACCTATGCAAAATAAATCCTAGCAACACTTCATATCTATGTACATATGTATGTACATGCGTAGGTATGCATAAGTAAAAGAAACTAGACTATGAGAAACCCTAACAACAATTTATATGTATCTTGGTATGTACTACATACTATGTAGGCAAAAAATAGGAAAAGGCAAAGAGATAGTAAAGCCAGGCCGCTGCTTGGCCTCTCTTCGCCGGTGATGCTGGTGCTGCGGCGAGTAGCGTCGATGCCGACAGAACGATCGCTGCACTTGTTTCGTTTCCCTCAGGCTCTGCTTCTGCTTATTCTCCCTCGCTGCTATACGTTCACTTCCAACCAGCTGTCGTTGAGTCTGCAAACTCTTATGTATATTCGCAGATCAGCGGCCGTTGACCTGGTCCACTCTTATGTACCAGGAACAGCTGTTTGACGTGTTCTGTTAGCTGATATCCGTAGACGGACGATAGATTTAAGGCATGCGTATGTACATATATGTGTCGATGGATGTGTACTGATTGTGGATAGGTGTTTACGGTGGTGCGTGTGGGTGTTGATCCAGGTGTGAGATGCAATTTGTAGTGCGTGTGGCTGTTAATTGTTTTAACCCGTGTGTGTGTCAATCTCGGTGTAATAGATAAGTGGTAGTGCGTATGGGCGTTGATCCAATTGCATTATCTATGTAAATAAATATGCTGTAGTGTATGAGTATGTTGGCTGGGATGTAATGCTGTCGATGGATGTGTGTAGCAGATGCTGACGTATTTAGGATGTAATGTGTGGGTGAATGTGGTTATGTGCCTTGTTGCTCCTAGGTCAATCTCAAAATTATCGAGGTCCTTTTGCACTTACATAGGTGCTGGCGACCTGAAAGAAAAGTTAAACAAATGGTCATTAGTAAAGTAGCTTAAGCTTCGCGTTCGGGTGAGCAGTTTTGTATAGCAACCAACTTTCATACATACATACATACAAACATATGCACCTGCGCCTGCGCGCACATATGCATGAACATACATGAGCGCATTGAAGTGCAAGTACTCATCCGTATATATGTAGGCAAGCCACTAGAAATTTCTTGGTCCCTGGATTAGGATCAAGACATTTCAATGCGAGAATTTTTTCTTACCTCGAATTCCGTTTGTTAGTAACCGCTAGATTCGGCGCAAGCTACGGTGCTTTCAAAACCCGCTTTTTGCACTTTGTTATATATACGTCCGTATGTATATATGCGTATATACACATGTACATATATTCACTCCACTATATACCGAGCTATTTACCGCACTATTAAACTTTCGCAAACTTCGAGCACTCGCGACACTTGATTTAAAATCACCACTTTCTAATGACTACTTCGAGCTACCTCCGCGGTTTTTATAGGGGATGACTCAGCCGAAGAAGTCACTCATGCCCTAATACTCACGCAAACACTTTGCTTACATAATCACTCCACTTCGAAAGATACAAAAATTCACACATACATACCACACTGCATTATCGGATCGCAGAGCTAGCAAGGTTCCACACCGTTTGTTAACTAAGTCTGGTAGGAAGTTGAAGCTTGCACGGAAATGCACACTTATACACTCGCAAGATGTCCAGAAGGCCCGCGCTACAGGCTCTTACCCGCCGATGGTGCCCGCATCATGGAGCGTGTACGTAAAAGAATTCCCAGCGCAGCCTGCCTTGTCTTCGTCTTCTCACCCAATGTGTGGCCTCGACCCACGACCTAAAGCCGGGCAGTTTCGCTTCCTCTCCTAAGGTTTCGTGTGGCATCGTAACACTGTGGCAAGTATTATTGGGTGGAGGTAACAAGCTACAACACGAACACACTTTCACCTTGGCACAATTCTACAGTTACACACATGTCGACAGCTTATTTCCTATATTTATATCACAGATAAGAGGATCCTAAGGTTATATCACCTATAAATTATTTAACGCTATATCACAGATGGTGTATGGTTATGTCAAAAAAAAAAAAAAAAAAAATATAAAAATAAGTAAGTTAGAACATAAATAAATAAGTAAATAAATTAATTAATTTTAAATATAACAGATGGGAAGGCGTATGCATGATTCGTCAAGTAATGAAATATGAGTAAGATAAAATAATTGCAAAAATAATTACACAAATAAATAAAACCAAAATAAATACATAAATGGTAGCTTTATTTTTAATCCAGCCTTTAAATATAAAGTGAGCTTTAAAGTTAAAGGCTACTTCAGAAAACGGCCCTATCTAGTTCAGCGTATATTAGTTTTTGCACAGCTGGCGATATGGGGTAATGCCGTTGCTTAACCGGCAGGTTTTCATCGGTTACCTCAATAACATTTTCTTCCATGTCGATTTTACCTAATCCTTAAGCAGGGATCACACGATTTGTACATTTGTACACAAAATGCCAAATTTAGATTTGCCCACATTTTCGCATTTGGATAGCGATGTACAAATGATTTGTTTTGCGATCAGACAATTTGGCTGCCAAAGATCCAAATGATTTGGCACACATTTGCGCACAGCAGTAAAGTGACAAATATTGTCCACATTCATTCACAAGATTTAACCATTTGGTCATAAATACTTAAACAGCTGATCCGGTGTCAACCATACTTTTGCATTTATGATTTCGTGAGATCTGAAGTGAAATAAACAAAAATAATATAAACGCATAGGTACTCAGAATTTTGAATACACCCTCAAAATCTGGGCTGTAGGTAAAAAACGCGTTTTTCATAGGTTGAAGCACATACTTGCTCGTAACTTTATTTCTGTTTGCCCGATGAAAAATACTTACATATGCCATTTAAGAGAAAACATTTCGTTGTTTACAACCATTTATAAATGGTTAATTTGTCTTGAAAAATGGTGGAGCAATATGTGGAACGTCTTGTCCGGCCTTTTTGTTCACTAGTATATAAATATATATGTATATGCAGAGCCCATCAAACCATCAATTAAATTTATCCCATGATGTGATATCTCACTTAAATTTTAGTACTAGAAAAAGTGCAGAACATATTGGTCAAAGTCGAATGTCTCAGCCAAACCCTAATTGATTTTCAAAATGTATCGCTAATTAAAAACAAAACTCCTTACGGCTTCTACATTACAATGGCCCTTATTTTTGAAAATTGGAAATTTGCGGGTGCTACCCCATGAAATGGTTACCTTTATTGAAAAAGTAATTCCCTAAAAATTTTGGCTCAATTAATCAAGTCTAACCCGTGCCACAAACGGGTCGAAGTTGAGATAACGACAGTATCACTTTGCGTCAGTGCTGCCTTTGGCTAGCCACCTTATTAGCGGCCTTTGCACGGTTACTATTGTATAAAACATAGCATGATGCAAAACAAAATTATTTCTGTTCACCCCATCATTCATAAATAAATGGGCAAGTAATTTTTAAGCAAAAAACAAAACCGACTTCAATTCTCATATACAAATTTAAGATTATCATTAATTTCTTCATGATCCAATGATCGGATTTTAACCAAATTAGTATGGGCCCACCTGTGGGGTAACACCTTTCCTGAAAAAAAAAGATTATAGAAATCGGTTAACGTGGTCTAAAGTTATGCGGTAAAATACGTAAAAAAAATATTCCGACGAATTGATAATTGATAGCCTTCGCCTTTTTGTGAAGTCGGTTAAAAATAAGTTTGATTTTGTTTCTTTAAAATGTGTATGTATATTTAGGATTTTTTATATGTACGAGTAAGTAGATAATAACGCACAGAACCACGATACATGGTTCATTATTCCAACTTGTTTCTGACATGGGTTAATCTGGGTCAATTAAGTCTATATTAAAAGATAAATATTTTCTCCTTATATATAACAATTTAAGGGAGTAGCACCTCAAAAAACAAAAATTTTAAATATACTTTTCATTTCATTTAATTTTAAGGTAGAAAACGCGGTTTTGTACATTTATCAGTTTTGAATGACTGTTTTTCATTACATTTTAAAGATCGAACATGTTGTGAGAAGAGGATTTATAGGCCTTTAAAATTATGTATAATAATCTATTGTCATACTTGGATTGTCGGGATTTTCATTGAGCAAATAAAAAAATATATATTTTCTCATTTTTTTAAGTTTTGACATTTCCTTATTTCAACCATTACAAAATATGTAGTACAATTAAACTGATAAATCTACAAAACCACATTTTCTGACCTAAAATGACAAGTCGCGAACTTCNAAACCCAAATTTTTGACCGTGTACAAAAAATTTATTTTGGGCGATACGAAGTTCGCCGAGTCTGCTAGTTATGTATAATAATCTATTGTCATACTTGGATTGTCGGGATTTTCATTGAGCAAATAAAAAAAAAATTATATCTTTTTAAGTTTTGACGATTCTTTATTTCAACCATTACAAAATATGTAGTACAATAAAACTGATAATCTACAAAACCATATTTTCTGACCTAAAATGACAAGTCGCGAACTTTAAATGATTTTTAAAAAATCTATAAAAATAGGCAATAATATTTCTCATAAAAAGGAAGGAAATTACGGGGTATGGTCTTAAAATAAAAAAATAAATAAAAATTCGATGGGCACGCTATGTATGTATACTAGTAAACAAAATAGTCGGACAAGACGTAATTTAAAATGAAAAAATTTTTAAAATTAAGAGTTTGCATATACTCTGTAAGATTCCTTTCAGTGATCGAACCTCTACCGCATTGTGGTAGGTCTGCCACTTTTATAAGCATCTACCACATAAGGTCTGAAATCTACCACATATTCGCGTTTTTGAGTAGTTTTATTTTTGATCGACATAGTTTTCTTAATTTTAAGAACAAAAATTGTCCAACACTAAACACTTACAACGAAGCCGAATGGGAGGATGAAATAAACTGTAAAATAGTAAATTTTCTCAATAATCAATTTTTCGACATCAAACTTGGTTTTATTGTGTTAAGTTGCAAAATATATGATTTATAAAAACAATTAATAGCGAAAATGATAAAAACTGGCGATTTTTGTGAAAGGATTNGAGCCACATTTGTTCGCTACATCGTGATGTGATAAAAAGAAAAGCTGGCTGGCTGTTCGAAGCTGTCAAGGAAAAAATTGCCAAAACTCAACGCAATTTTTATCAACTTCAATCTTGCGCCTTATTATATTAAAATTAATTTTGTTTTAGATTCTAATTAAAATGTTGCAATTTAGGTGAAACCTTGCAGATTTTTTTAAATTTTTGTACAAAGTTTGATCCAAAACCTGAGATCTACCACATTTTTTTGAAACCTACAACATTTTTTTCCTGATTCTACCACACAATTTTTTTTTTTTAAGTCCGATCATTGATTCCTTTGCCATTTCTTAAGATAAATTACACTATGCGACAGTCAAAATCGGGATGGGATGAAACCAACGGGAAATGTTATATCGGTCAAAAACAAGTTATACGTGTCCCGGCGTTTCGCTGGGTCACGTCTAGGAATCGAGATATATATATAACTATCATATAGGGAAATTGTCACCTTTGGTGGTCTTTTTTTGACATAACTCGAGAACCACTAGTCCGATTTTGGTCAAACAAATTTAAAAAAATTTAAAATTACAATTCCTTTAAATAAATGTATGAAGAAAAAAAATATTTTTTGCCTAAAATCTTAAATTTTTTTAAACTGTTGATTATATAGAAAAACGTTATATGAACAGATTAAAGGAATTGTAATTTTTAATTTTTTTAAATTTGTTTGAGCAAAATCGGTTTAGTGGTTCTCGAGTTATGTCAAAAAAAGACCACCAAATGTGACAATTTCGCCTATATGATAGTTATATATATATCTCGATTCCTAGACGTGACCCAGCGAAACGCCGGGACACGTATAACTTCTTTTTTACCGATATAACTTTCCCCGGTAGTTTGAACCCTTCCCGATCACTGACCCCTACCATTTGTCTCACAGTGTTATCAATTTAAACATTGTTGTAAGCAGCGAAATCTCTTATCTGGAATCACATACGTATATACGTATTTTTTACCGGGTAAACAGAAATAAAGTTACGAGCAAGTATACCTGTGCGTCACCCTTTGAAAAACGCGGTTTTTGACCTTAAGCCCAGATTTTGAGGGTGTATTTAAAATTCTGAGTATACAGATGTTACTGCTTGAATAGACCTACAACAAGTGTTAACCTCGAAAAAACTATATAATTTTTTTTTTATAAATCGCATTTCTGGATAGTATATTTCAGGACGAATGGATAAGGATTGAGCCAACAGCTTCTGTAAGCAAATTCAATTTTTGGCAGCAAATGTCAGTTACGCGATTTTGCAGAATGACGATACGCGGTTTTGTACTTTATACGACGATATGCATGTATGTATATGTGTATAGCCAGCAAAAACTGCGGAAAGAGATCCGAAAACTGAAAGAAAGGTGAATAGAAAAGTGCCACGAAGGGTTGTGAAACGAATACTTTTCTTCACATATGCTTTTTCAAACTTCACGTATGCTTTTTCATAGTTAATTATACTCAGAAATTATTTATACTTTTATAAATACTTTTTAATATGTTCGTCTGCCGGCATAAGAACCTGGGACCTAATGAAAGTCGCACGTTTCGCTGCACACTCAGCTACTGTCGAATACGTTTATGTACGTGTTTTCAAATGTTCATTTTGAACAAATATTTTAAAATTATTGTTATAATTGTTGTGATATTTTTCGGTAGTTTTCGGATACGAATATTATATTAAATATTAAAATTTTACCAAAATTGGAAAATACTAAGGTTCACAGCACGAAATGGCAATACCGCTCAACAATATTTGTATATTTGTCACGGGCATTTGTCATCAAGTGGCAAATCAGATATTTGGTCGTTTGCGTAATTTTTATTTGGCGTATGTAGCAGCATTGCGTTCACACGGTTTGGCCACCAGGGTTGTTTTTCATTTGCCACAAGAAGGCAAATATTTGGCTTTTCTGATAAATGACAAATGTAATTTAGCGTTCACATGATTTGT